GGCTTCCCGTAAAGGCATTCCAGGCTGTGCGGGTTGGACTCCCGCCGACACCGCGAGTTTTTTCACAATTGGGTCAACTAAATTAAGCAAATCTGCCAAAACCCCTAAAATAATTATCTAGTGACGTTGGTACCAATATATGAAATGGATTGATGGCCGGTGTAATAGATTATTTGCACAGATCATTTCAGCTTTGTGAGACAATATACATTTGCCTTTAAATAGAGGACGCAAGTTGCTTTTTTAACTACCTTTAAACACGTGCTTCAACAATTCCCCGTAGATGCTGAAATGCCCACTGACGTAAGGGCCGTTGCCCTCAGTTCACAAAGCATTCAGGTGACATGGAAGCGTCCTAATTACACCTTGCCAGATGAAGATGGCTACAAACTGGAGATAGTGGGCGAGGACTTCAGCGATGCCGTCTTAGTTGGGACAGATGTGTTTTCACACACATTCTCCGGGTTGCAACCATTCACGGAGTACACCATTTACGTGCAGCTTAAAGACAGAATTCCAGAGGTTCTTCGACCAAAGGGACAAATTTCAATGAGCACGTGGCCAGCAGGTAAGTCGCTTTTTGTCAACAGTGAGTTCCTGCTTTTAAAGACAATGAAACACAGAACACTCTCCTTTGCAAGTTCTGAATGTGCACAGCAATTAAAGAAAGTATGAGAGAAGGCTTTCCGGAAAGGGAATATGGAGGATTTGTTAGGGAGATCTTTCTTTGATGAGCGCGTCTACTGTAGTTTGAAAATATCTTTTGAATATTGACTGATGACAGCAGAAGCGACAATCAACCTCTCGACACAGTACGAACACATCGCAATAGCCACAGTCCGCTTAGGGTGCAATCGCTGCAAAAATGAACTTCATTTGCCTGAAATTACCAACTGGGTCGAGAAACTGTCATCAGATTTAACCATCGGATAGTCTGATGCATGCACATATTATGGTCCCTAGTCTGGGTGAGAATCAGCAAAGCGCCGGAAGTTGTGACCATTTTACTTATTTTATGTTGGACAGACTGAATACCAGCAGATGGTGTAGA